GTTAACAACTGGACCGTTTGAAGATAGCAATTGACCAGAAACGACCAGAATTGGCCAACAGAAGAGATGTCGTGTTCCACCAGGACAACACTAGGCTACACACATCTACAGTGACTCGCCAGAAACTTCGGGAGCTTGGTTGGAAAGTTTTAATGCATCCGCCATATAGTCCGACTTGGCATCGAGCTATTATCATCCTTTTCCTGCATTGCAACATTTTTTAATGATAAAAATTCGTATACCCTTCACCACTCTGTGGTACAGGGTATTATGTCTTTGTGCATATGTTTGTAACAGGCAAAAGGAAACGAAATATACACATGGTTCGTTTTGAGAATATGCATAGAATCACTTTCTGAGTCGATTTATGCATGTCCGTCAGCCCATCCGTCTGTCTGTCGATGTTAAATTGTAAACAAAGTACAGGCCGCATTTATAATCCGAATTGGGTGAAATTTGGCATAGTTCACTTATTTGGCCCAAGGACGAACCCTATTGAAATTGGGAAAAATCGGTTCAGATTTAGATATAGCTCCCATATATATTTTCGTCCGATTTAATGTAAACGGTCCCTATATATCTTTCGATTTGCACGAAATTTGGTACAGCGTAATGAATTAGGTCTAGAATGATGTGTGTTTAGTTTCGTGAAAATCGGTTCAGATTTGGATATAGTTCCCATATATATTTTCGTCTGATTTAAGGTAAATGGTGTACCAAAGTCCCTATATATCCTTCGATTTGTACGAAATTTGGCACAGCGTAATGAATTAGGTGTAGAATGATGTGTGTCAAGTTTCGTGAAAATCGGTTCAGATTTAGATATAGCTCCTATATATATTTTCGTACGATTTAAGGTAAATGGTGCACTAAAGTCCCTGTATATCCTTCCATTTGCACGAAATTTGGATTTATAAGTAAATGAAGAACTCAAAATGTGGCCGAATGCAAAAACATACTGAAATTAGTGTAACCTAACATGTGACAAGTTTCAATGAAATCGGTTTAGATTTCGTATTTTGCTTTAAATTTATTTACATAATTTTGTCCCATTATAAGAAGCAACTCTATATCTGACCAAAATTTAGTATAGGTTGCAGAATGACATGTTTAATTTCATGTTAATGGTCCTTCAAAAATGCGACGTCTGTTAGGATTCCATCTGTTGAATATACCCAAAGTGGTGAAGGGTATCATATAGTCGGCCCCGTCCGACTTTATTACTTTCCTTACTGTTTTTTTTTTGCAAGTAGAGAGCAGTACTTCTATGAGAGAGGCATTATGAAGATACCTTTAAAATAAGAATAATCAATTTAGGCACAAATCTGTCATTCCGGTGTATGTGAAATGAAGGCCTACATTTCATGTAAAAATAATGGATTTCTTTTTCCCAACCTAAGATATATATATATATATATATATATTTATTTCTAGTTGATCTTTTGGACATTACTGTGCGTTTAATTCAATTCGATACAAATTTAAAATCGATTGAAATTGGTGTATATATCTATATAAATAATGTATTAAATTTTGTCCGGTTACATTTTAAGGGTCCTCCAAATACACATCAAACCTATTAAAGAGAACAATGTTTGTTATTATGGGTTTAGTCGGTATATTTTACTTTACAATAAGAATCGTAGGAGAATCTCTTGTGCATGGCCAAACTAGTCGTACAGTCGTCCCTGTCCGACTCTTGAACTTCCCTTCCAAGTTTTTTTTTTATTATTTGCTGAAAACTTCACTTTTTGTACTCCAGCAAATAACAACTGCTGGGAATAGGTTAAGCGGCCAATATCTATGTTGAATTTTACGAAAAACAATTTGAAGATTGGTTTTCGAACTAACAATATTATATAAGTACGTATATGTATGTATATATTTCTGTTGCAGAAACATTTAGGCACGTGTGCAAAAACAAATACAAACTGACTATTTCAAGAGAAACAAATCCTTGAAAATTTGTTAATATGGGTCAGACTGTTTTCAAGGATTACTATGGAAAAAGGGTACAGCGGAACAGTCTAACTCATAGTTGTTTTCCTTTTTTTTGCAGTTAGTTTTGATGTCTTATTTTTATTTCGTTGTCATTTGGAATCCTTTAATATTTTATTGGCTTAGTGTTAAGCCTTTTTTATTCTTCTATTTTTTTTCGGAGGAGGATCTACAAAATATAAGACGACAACTTGTTTTCCTATTATTTTCGATACCATTTTGTTATACGCTTCGAAAAAAAGGTTTTTTTGAGAAGGATTTAGTTTGTGGAGAATGTGTTTCCCACCTTTAATTGTTGCATTGGGAATATCCCCTTTTTTTCATAGAAATTATGTCCTTTGTACGGTTTCAACAAGAAAATAGATTGTCGAAAACATTTATTTTGTAATCAAATAACTCATTGAAATTTATTTGTTTGTTTGTTGAAATTTGTATTTAAGCATTTAATTGAAATAGAACAGATTATACAAGAGTAGTATATAAGCAATATTGCCAATTTTTTAACATAGATGAAGCCGAAAATTATTAATATATATGAAAAAAAAGTTTTGGATTTATTGACATGTAGTTGCAAACTTATGTAGTAGCTAGTCTTATGTGGTAGTCCCAGTCGATAGAAATTAAATACTGAAATTTGTGATTTATGTATAATATTTATTCTAATCCGAATTGGTAAAACCCGTCATTCTAGCCACACTTTAGAAAACAAGGGTGGTTGCTGACTTCTACAAAAAACCAGTAAGGAAAGATCAAAAGTCGGGCGGAGCCGACTATATGATACCCTTCACCACTTTGCATATACACAAGAGATGATAATGTCTACAATATCCTGTAGATAGAAGGAATATAGCATTTTTGGAAGACCATTGAAATAGAATTGGACGAAAAAATTGCATAAAATCGGACGAAACTATGTATGGGAGATATATATAAAACTGAACTGATTGTAATCAAACTTCACAGACGTCACACTGGACTTAATTTAGTATGCGGTGTAAAATTTTGTCTAAATCGAGCAAATATTGGGAGTTTGGTGCACCATTTACATAAAATCGTACGAAAATATATATAGACTTAATTTAGTATGCTGTGCCAATTCTTTTTGGAATTGAACAAATATTAAGGATTTTTGGTGCACTATTTACAGAAAATCGGAGGTAACTATATATAGGAGCTATATATAAATTTGAAACGATTTTCTCCCATTTCAATAGGTTTCGTCCTTGGGCCAAAAAAGTGACTTGTGTGAAATTTTATCGAAATCGGATTATAATTTCAACCTGTACTTTGGTTACAATTTAACATCTACAGACGGACGAAAGGACATGCATACATCGACTCAGAAAATGATTATATCCATATTGTCAAAAGGAACCATGGGTCTATCTCGTTTCCTATTGCCTGTTACAATGCACAGTGTGGTGAAGGGTATACAAATAGCAGAATGGTTGGGGAACACCTCAATTAGATTCCTAAAGTTCATATGCGTATTGGCTACTTTACAAAAAATCAATAAATAAAAATAAAAACAATATTAAAACAAAACAAAACCGCATGGTAGCCCCATTTTTGAATGCGTTACAACCCTATATTTGGATGTGTACAAATGCATCACGGTATTTGATCTACATATACTTTTTTGGTGATTGACTGTAGGGATAACAGACTTTTAGACGATCTCACGAATCACATTAGTAATATCAATAATAACCACATAAGCTACCGATTATCTAATATATGGTTGTATGTATGCCTGTCATCTAATAATTTTGTAAATTAATTCTTAACATGGCCCACGTCCAATTTTGCCGATGACTAAGTATTAAGTTTTTCCTTTATAATGAACCTAATGAATTCAACATACTTGGGGATATAAAAGTCATGCGTCATTCGAAGCACAGTAATGCCACAAAATGAGCAATGATAATAAGATGAATAGCATTTTCTATAACAATCAAATCAACATCATCATCTGAGGTAATTAAATAGCATTAGATGTGAAAAAAGGCCAAAGCAAACATGAATAAGAAGTAAAGTAAAACCAAATGTCTTAATGTGTGTTTAACAAATGAACATATCCAAGGAAATTTTATGCGAATCATTTGCTCTAAACAAAAGCAGAAATGATATTGCGTGGCAACACATTGGCCCACTCAAAGGTGATAATGACACAAATAAACTGAAACTATTCTCATAATGAAGGGATTTATGAGATTTCGTCAAGTCGTTTTGCTAACTAGTCGTTGATGAACTGATGTATGTATAAAATAGGTTGGATATTTACCATGACATGCTAGAATGAGAACAAATGACAGGCAATATTTATGTACTACACAGAGCCTCACGGGAAAATATTAAATCACATCATAAGAGAAAAAAAATAAATTTGGCTAAAGGAACTTATAATATCCTTGCCACATCTAGCTCCAATGTTTACTGACAATTCTTCCTCTTTCCATAATCTTCCCGTTAAAATTGATTTTGCACTTTGCCTTTACCAGCGTATACTCACTCCGGACTCGGAAATATTTTTCGCACCATTTCAAAATGACCCTGTGTAAAAGTGTTCGATACGACGATTTTTTTTTCAAAATTATTTGTCGAATATTTTATATATCGAATAGATATATGTAGAGATTATGAATTTTATAATACGTCAATTTGAACTGACATTTTCCATTAGCTTAAATGCCAGGATAGGATTTGATAGATTTTCAGTGCGAAAATAAGTAAACGTTGGCAAATGAAATTTCAAAAGTAATAATTAATACGCTATGTTTACAACATACATGTATATATATATATATATTCAAACATTTTTCATTATAACCATATATTTTTTTACTCACCCTGTCGCCTTTTTCGCCACTCATTCCAGGATCTCCACGTTCACCTTTCTGTCCTGGCTGACCTCTTTCACCTGGCCGACCCATTTCACCTTTAATGCCTGGTTCACCCTTGGGTCCAGGTGAACTGCTACGTAATGATCCCATGGAGTTGCCCATTAACGATTCCTATTCAGTGGTTATGGACAGGCGTATGTGGTATCCAAAAGGTTAATACAAATGATGCGGCGTCGATTTGTATGATGGCATTGTTGTGGTATTGGTTGTTGTTCCATTGAATGGTAGACCGTTTTTTTTTTTTTTTTTTTGATGTGTTGACCCCATTCAGAAATAGACGAGAAACAATTTGCCATATTAATGTTTTTTTTTTCAGCATAAACGTCCAAAGATTTGTGCGGTTGTTGGTTTGTGGGGTGAAGAGCAAACACATAACAAAAAAAAAAATATATATATATGTATGTTAGTAATTTGTTTTGAAAATATATCAAAAATTTGTTTACAATAAGGATACATGTGTTGGGCAATACTTGTATTTCAATGGTCACATATATTAAGACTGATAAATAACATATGAGCTATTTTATGTTATAAATAATAAAGAATTCTGAAATAATATTAAATTGAAATAATAAATACGCTATTTGCTAATTTGTTAGAAATGCATTATATAAATTTATGATGACAACAAATTTGTATTATTCTTTAGCAAACCCCGACTTAGTTCAATAAAATATATACAGTGTTGGTCACATAATTAGCAGACTCCATAACGATAAATTAATTATTCAATCAATACCTCATCGCCGCTGAAAATTCGATATCAAAGTAGTCCGTCCCTCTGTCTGTTGAAATCCCGATAGAGATATATAGGTAGAGAATTTTGTAAATACCTTGCTCATACCATCAATACGAACTTATCTGATGTTTGGTATCATCTATCAGTTACCTTTTTTGGGTAAAGAAGAAAGCAAGTGGGCAATTTGTTTGGTTGTTCGTATGCATTGATATATTTAGGTCGTATAGTATGTCCACCACATGTGGCATATTGTTTTTCAATACATGCCACATAATTTTTGTTGTGCTAAAGTTCCTCATTTTTCAAGTAAAAGGTGTAAAATAACATATTAGGTATTTTTATATTTCCCCCTTTACAGAAAAGTACATACTAATTTTCGGTATTTGATCCACAATCTAGATGGTGGAACCCATATTTTTAAACTAGTGAGCGGAGCAGTGTAGCCGGTCGGGGCCTACACAACTACTGCGGCACTCTAACACTCTGCCGATATTTATTCTGAGCCTGGGCAATATTTCGTGATATTTGCACCCTCTTGCCTGATTATAGGTCAGCAACACTTCTTTCTTACACTGACATATTTTTCGAATATTCCCAATATTTAGTACAGCCCATCTAATTACTTGTCCAGATTCCCTTAGCCGTGGGCCGAAAAAAAAACACAACAAAATAAGTTTCCGGTCCACTTCATACCAAAATTTGTATCTGATCATCAACGATAATTATAGGCGTTATCCTTGACATTTATCGTGGACATTTTTAAAGCGATCAGCGCTATATTTTCGCCCTCTAGTGTGGTAATGGGTGACAAACTAATACCTACATACGTAAGCACCTGTAAATATTTAAATATTTAAGTGTAAATCCTACACATGACCATATAATTGGTATCAATTTAAATGGTCAACCACTCCTCTTGGATATACTATCAACTTCTCGGGTATATGTCCTTCAGGGGTAAATATATACGCCATAGAATACACATTTTGTATTTTTTTCACATTATACCCGCTAAATATTGACCAATCTTTTTCAAAACAGGCATGCTTATTCTTTAGCCCGATCCCGTTCTCTATGCAAAATTTCGCGATGTTCGGGCCATAATTGCGGCCTCTGGAGCGACCAGAAAACGGACAAAAATTAAGTATTTGATCCATTTCATCCCCTAAATATTAACCAATCTTTACCAAAAACAATACGGGTCTTCATTGGCCAGAACCCATCCTACAAGCAAAATTTCGTGAAGATTGGTCCATAACTGTTGCCTGTATCGTGTTTACAAATTATAATGGACAGACGGATGGACGGACGGACACACATGTCTAGACCAACTCAGCTAGTCGAGATATGACTGAAGTATGATCGGTATTCTTGATGCTGGGTCTAGGACCAATATTTCGCGGCGTTACAAACTTTTGGGGCTGCTCAAAGCTATAATACCCTGACAACATAATTGTGTAGGATATAATTATCCCTTAAAAATCGGAAACATAACTACCACAAATTATGTCGCAAGTTCAAATTAACAACGGTCACAGATATAAAGGTTTGTACAATTTGTATTGTATTGGTCCAATATTTGGTATTACTCCCATATAGTGAGTCTACAAATGTTTGCTCTACAAATGTTTGCTCTACAAATGTTTGCTCCTATAAAATTCGATGAAAAATTTCAGTTAAATGTATTTAGGGCTACCTTCCATATAATGGGACTTGAAAATTTCACTCTTTTGACAAATAAAATCTTTAATATTGAACAAAACTCGATGAAAATTGGCAGTGCCCAGATACTGATATTATTTCTAGGGTGTTTGGTATTGCAAATGGGGAGTATTGGTCCGTGTTTTGGTATAGCTCCCATATCAAGGTTCTGTATACTTTTCGGCATTTTGAGGCTATTAGACCCATTTCCCAACCGAAATGGCTCTAATTAGAATGCTGACATGCATCTGCGCCGAAAGTTACCATTATAGGTCAGCGGCTTGATATGGACCCATTAAAAAGTTCCCGCCTAATTGTCGATATTTTGGGTGTTAATGCCACATTTTCTAACCGAAAAGGCTCCAGTAATACAACTTGTTCTAATATCTTCATCTGATGGCTACAGCAATACAATTTTTTACAAGGGATCTCTTGGAACCCTTTATCTTTAAATGCTATATTTTCCAAATATTTCGCTTTTAATTTTATATATTGAACCACAAAAATAAGTTTGAAATTATATTTTCTCTGTAGGAGATCATAATCACAACATTCCCGTTCGTTCTAGTAAAAAATGACAGAAATGATAATGACCTTTAGGCCAACAATCCGACACAGATATTTTGATTTGTTTTGTGCCGATAGATATTGAATTGCTCGGTGGTTGGTTTAACGTTTCTTTTATTCAATTATAAATAAAGTTTTATAGAAATTGAAAACAAATGTAAAATGCCACGCGAATAAAGTAAACGAATTTTTCACAAACCTAATATCTGCAACTAATAGGTTTCTCACAATGGACACATATATTGAAAATTTGGAGAAATCCAATATCAAAGGAATGATGATATACTCTGAAAATTGAATCTATCGTTAAACTTGTTTTAGTAGCTTCGAAGAGTGCGCTACTTCGTTGACGAGTGTGGCAAATATTTAAACATATTATGTTGTTTTCACAGATTACTGCATATGTCTGAAGAGCTAATCATACTACATACCAATATCGAGCATAGTTAAAATGTTACTACCTTTGATCTCTTATAGAAAGAATTTCCAAACCATCCCCCATTTGTCAACACTACTCATCCATTCTGACCGCAACAGAAATCAAGAACCATACTACATTTAGTACCATTTATTACCTATTGTGCTCTTGTAGGACTTATTTCCAAACTAATAACAAAATTTCATGAGTCAAGATCTATATGTACACCAAGTTTTACAAAATTTAGTACTCAAAAGAACAAATTTCCATCAAAACCTCAATCTAAATCCAAATCCTGCAGAAATCTTTTTTCCCAATTTCTGGTTTTCTGCCCTATCAGTTCACATAAATCCAAATTTAGTACTATTTAGTACACATTAGTTAAAAAAAACTACTAAAACTAGAACTACTAAAAACCTACACCCCATCAGTAATTTATTTCCAAATTTCAGGATTCTAACTCTATCGGCTCGCTAAATCCAAATTGTATCGAAGTTAGTAGCATTTAGTATACATTAATATAAACTTACACCTCAACAATTAAATAGAAATCATAGTTCCCAGTTTCAGCTAAATCCAAATTGTATCAAATTTAGTACCACTTAGTACTTATTAGTACAAATTTCCAAAATGTTATCCATACTCCTATCCGGCACTCTATGATTAATCTAAATTCCAAATTTCAGTATTCTCACCTATCTTCTAACCTAGGTTCACATCAGCATCAAATTGTTCTCAATTTAGTACCATTTAGTACACATTTGTAGAAATTTCCAAAACGTCTTACATACCCCAATCCTATATCCCAACATTGATCTTATTTTCGAATTTTTAGTATTCCACTTCTGTCCTTTCACCCAAAATTCAAATTGTATTAAATTTAGAACCCTTTAGTACCAATAAATAAAAAAAATACTACATTCCTACCTCCAACAGTAATTTTATTTCCAAATTTCAATATTCCAGCTCTATCGGTATACATGAGTACACACTTCCAGAACCATTTTCCTTATATCGACCCTACATCTCAACCTTAATTCGGATCTAAATTTCATTTTACATTTTTAGACCTATCCGTTCACTTTAGTACATTTTAGTACTTTTCGGATACTTATAATTCCAATTTCCAAAAACGATTTCTAACTAGTCACACTCAAGCAGTGACCCTCATTCAATATTTAAGAGATCTAGCTCTAGAATCGTTTTGCCAGTCAGTCAATCAATCAATTTTTTTTAGTCAATCAATCAATTTTTTTAGTATACGCCAGTTTACAGCCACTGATATTTCTAAAATCGGACAAATTTACAGTACATATAAAGAATTTTCAGGATTAATAACAGTTTTAGATCAATATTAGTTTTATTATTAGTCGATATCTTTGGGTTATACCCAAATATTGATTGCAAAAAGGTTATATTTTCATCTTTAACTTTTTGTGTTCAAAAGGTTTATCTTTTATATGCATATTTATTTATTCTTATCACATAGAGGCGGGGTTTGCTAATATGATTCAAAAATTTATAATTAATTTATACACAACTTCTTATATACCCATAAGTATCTTACCGTAATTAATTATTAACAGAATACTTATTACTAACTTAATACAAAATGATTTTATTGTTTACACGTATACCTTGAATGTCCTTGTAGGATTCCAATTGATCTGTATTTTTTTGTTAATT